CTCGCCTGGCTAGTAGCTACGAAAAGGCAAAGAGAGATTTGAGGCGAACATTTGGAGACGAATGGACTTATTCACGTTATAAGCAGCGCAGTTGGTTTCCTGGTACGTTAAATCTGCCACGAGAGACTGTCAAACACTAAAAAGTGGCGAAGCTGAAGTTGCTTCTCTTTCTAATTTTCCCGTTCCACCTTAAATGGTGCCGCATTTACATTCGGCGCCTCAGTTAGAATTTAAGGTGGAGCGGGACAATGCGAACAAGAAGCTGGAGAATAAGAAGCGACTTCAGCCTCGTAAAACAGTCGAACGCTGAGAGACATTTAACTGATCTACTTCTGAGGAAGAGTTTTCTGGCGGAGACGGGAGGAAAGCAGCTGTAGGCGAAGCTTAAAGCAGAGCAGAGTAAATCTGCGCTCTTGTTTATATTGTTTAGTCTATACTAGGACATCATCACACACTGAGACACACTGGACATTAAATATTGTGGCTCCCAAGCTGGTTTGATTTTTGTTGAAAGGTCAAAATGTCTCTTAACATTTGTGTTGTGACTCCTGATCTAACCTGGCTTTAATGCAGAGGGAGCCGGTTGGATTTCTCACTCATCCAGCTGTGTTTTTGTTATGTGCCCCACAGACTGTCCGGGTGCTGCACTTACCCACTTCCAAGCTCCACCTTTTGCGTTCCGTCAACGTTACGGTATAAATTAAATATTTAGAAAATCGATTTTTGACATTTATGTATCGATTCAGAATCGTCCACGTCCGCATCGCAATGCATCTAAGAATCGAGTTTTCCCCCCCACCAAAATATTTTATAAAGGAGATGCAACATAAACATTCCACAGTTTCTGTCCATTTTTTCCCAAAATGTTAAACTCAGCAAACAAACAGTAATTGTGCATTAAAATATGTAGAAGTGTGTCTCTGTAGGGGGTGTGTTCACCTAATTTTACATATAAAATCAACAAAACATGGACTTTGCGCAAAGTTGTTCAGACTTTTGCATAAAATTTTTTTTATTTCCATGAAAATGCATTTATATACACAGTTAATAAGTGTTTTAAGAGGAATAAATATTTCCATTAAAAAAGCAGAGTGTCAGCTTTAGTTTGAGAGTATTTACATCAGCGCTGAGTGAAACATATAACACTTTTAAAAGGTTAAACCTGTGTTGGGGGACCACAAGCAGCCTAACTTGACCGTTGCTGCTGAGGCCTTGTTGTTGCGACATCATGTGAAAGAGAGCCACGGAAGAGAAACATACAAAGAAGTAACACCACCATGCAGTTCTGGCAGAATGCGCAATCATGTGTAAGCCTCGAGAACGGAAGTGGCAGTCCGCGGTTCGCTACAAAATACACTAATGTGCCTGTGTATTTGTGGACACGGTGCTGTGGACAAAAGAAATAAAGATTTAGTGAAGTGATGGCGCTAAAGAACAATAAGTAAACCTAGTGGCGGTGCATGAACAGGTAACGGTGGAGCCAGCTCACTTGTCTTGAATTGTAAACTGAACAAAAGCTTTTTAACTCAGATTCAGTGAAACGTTTGAAAGCTCAGTGGACGGTGATTCACCTTGCAGCAGTGACCCCAAACGTACTGCTAGTGCAACTGTGCAGTTTTACTGGGTCAGAAGTGGAATGATCTTCACTGCACAGCCAACCTGAACTCTCTGAGCAGCATTTCACTTACTGATAACAGGACTGAAGGCAAGAACACTCTGAAACAAGCAGGAAGTGAAAATGGCCTAGCCCAGGGGTCGGCGACATGCGGCTCTGTTACTGCACTGTTGTGGCTCCACAGCTGAATCAGATTTGTAGGTAATAATAAAATAATCCTCCTTTGCAGTAAAAGCTGCTTAAAGAGGTTGTTAGCAAATTACCCTAATATTATGTCAAAATATAGTCTGATCAGCCAAGACATGTTTGCATTCTTTGCATTTGTAGGGCTGATGTAACTAACAAGTAATGAAAGCTCATTCCCCACCAATTAGCATGGTGCTAACCGCAGGCCTTAATCCTCACACACTTGCTTAAAACTGTGCAGAGCTGTTCAGTATCTTTAGTAGTTTTGATGATGTGGTTTCTGACACTGAAAGACTCACTGATGTCTGTTATCTATCACTGTTATCTCTAAACATGACGTGGCTAAAAATACCCTGCATGGTGAAGAAGGTATAAATTTAGTTTAGTTTGCCTGATGTGAATTTAGTTAATTGGTTAATTGGTGGGGAATACTCTTTCGTTACTCAGCTGTTAGCCTCGCAGCTCCGAAACTGAAACAGGCAAACTGAAGACGCCACTTATTTGGCAAATTTTTTTGTTTATCTCTTTACCAAATGATCACTTTCAGCTCCGTGGCTTCAGACTCGCAGCACCAGACATCCTCCCGTTACCTGGAGGACTGAAATCTGTGCTCTCTCTGAATCCTCTGTTTTTGTCTTGCTGGCGTCTTCTGTTCTCATGTTTCTCTGACAGGAAGGCCGAGTGCCTGACCCTGAGTGTAGCTTTACCTCATTTAGCTGAGCTTCAGTTTTCCACAACAGCGTGTCCGAATATTGAGGGAAACGGATTAGACTGTCGCTTAGTTAACAGGGGACGAACCGACTGCATGGTTCATTACAAAAACTGCACATTAAGTCCTGTTTGATTAATACCATATAATAATAACGTGAATAAGGATCTTTGTGTTCATTGAATCGTTGCTCTCACACTGCTTGCTGATTTGTGATTCGAGTCCTTTATTATGTCCTTTTTGAATTTATTTTGTCCGGTTTGTATGAAGCTGAGATGTTTTATATTCCCTTTAATTTACAGAATTTCCCTTTTGATCAGTAAAGCTCTGTATATGTGTCTTATCTATCTTTCTCCCTGTCTGTCTCACTGTCTGTCACTCTCTCTCACTCTCTCTCTCACTATCTATCTGTCTCTCTCTATCTGTCTATCTATCTATCTATCTATCTGTTTCTCTCTGTCTGTTTCTCTGTCTGTCTGTCTATCTATCTGTCTATTTGTTTATCTGTCTCTATTTGTCTCTCGCTCTCTATCTATCTATCTGTCTGTCTGTCTGTCTGTCTGTCTGTTCAGATAGTATTGTGTAAGTGTGGCACTGCTGATCAAACCTCAGTGTATTGATGAATCATGGTGATATTATTTATGCCATGTTGTCCATGTGACTTTATATTCCAGTGATTGTACTCAAGTTGTTTTGTTGGTTATTTTTACATTGTCTGTCTGCTTTTTGAACTACAAGACTGTCTACATAATTCAGCTTTATTTAAGTCGAGTTGATGTCTAGGCAGATAGTTGGATTCATCTGCTGACCGATAGCTGGCCCAATAAAATGCAATCGATTGAGATCAGTGACAACGAATATACATCATCTAGAAAATGAAGAATATTTACGTTTTCCTTTTGGTCGGGTATGCAGTTGGGGTCAGCTTCCTTCCAGAAGTGTTTGTGTTGTATTAAACGCTGCTTGTTGTTTCCAGGACAGCTCTGCCCTCTCTTAGCGCACATGCACAGATCAAGAAAGTGCTCTGAGCTAAAATCCAGCTCTCTTTTTCAGATTTCTAGAAAGCTGAGAATGGCCTTATTCGGGTCTAAGAAATCAGAGTGTGCTGTTTACATGACCAGCTGAATAATCAGATAACTGCCGGAATACGATAATGACCGAATTATTGGTGCGCACACAAAGTGTTTTCACATACAGTTCTTTTCAAATGAACTGAACCGAGTTCTGTTAAAGTGAACCCGAAAGGGAACCAACTGCAAATGACCTCAGTTCATTTTGTGTTCACAATGTAAGTGAACTATAAAGAGGACTGAGTTCTCTTTCTGGTCCTCTTTAGCACTGATAAGATCTCAGACCACAACTCCATTAGAACTCAGACTCCTTTCACAGCACTCATGGTGAGCGCAGCGCTCGCAGAGTGGGCAGCGTTCTCTGATAAATCTCACCTTTCAGGTGACAAAAGGAACCACCAGACCCGCCCGCTGCTCTCCTGTTGGCCGCCCTGAAACAACTGGCCGCAGTGCATCGCGCTAAATTGGAAAAATTAGCTGTGTGTCTGCCACGGTGGGCTCTGTTTTGGGCTGTGCCCCTCACTGAGCTCCACCCGGCGAATTCATTATTATTCATTTATTCATTCAGCGTTCAATATGAAAGCAGCTAAAGCTCAGCATTGCCTGTGTTTACAGCATGAGTTTTTACACAGTAACATCATTGGCCTCGCATCTGATCGCTTTAATAGGTCAGCGCTGCTGTCTTGTCACCGATCACGGACAGACTTTATCCTGAGTAGAACCTTATAAATGATCCTTGGTCTGTTTTACATGCTGAAGTGCTGAAAACTGTGTGTACGGTGAGCCTCGAGGTCTGCAGGCTGGGGCCATTTTCACAATGCAAAAATCAATTGAACCACAAAACAAACTGCAAACGAACCGAACTGAGACCACCTCGAGAAGTGGTCTCGGTTCAGTTCGTTTTTGGGGCCGTTTAGAGGGTCTGAGTTCGTTTGGCGTGTTCACATATACCCAGAAAACCATGATTCGGTGGTCTTGAGTCCACTTCAGACTCACAGTGAATGGGCCGTTATATGTAAATGTAAATGTGTTGTTTTTTCTGTGACATCACAGAACCAGTGAATTACAACTTAGTTTCCAGTGGCCAGTACAAATTAGACACTGTAAGAGTGTTTATATACTACAGCAAAGGAAAATACAGTTGTTTGAGATATGGGTTCTTTAAAGGTTTCTCTGACGTGAGTGTCTGTCTGTGTTTGTTGATGGGAAACTGGTGAAGAGTGACCCCCTGGTCACAGCTCAGAGTCCACGCTGCCCCTGCAACGTGCTGTTTGTGTGTTTGGTTGGAGGGCAGGTGCTTAATGGGGCAACATTTTACTTTCAGATTATACCAACTTCCCCTAGTTAAGATGATGATGTGATAACCTCTCTCTCTCTCTCTCTCTCTCTCTCTCTCTCTCTCTCTCTCTCTCTCTCTCAGATGCCTGTCTGTATCAGTGTGAGAATATGGAGGATGGTGAAGAGGGGGATTTCAGCAGAGGGCTGAAATATGACACATCGGTGCGTACACACACACACACACACACACACACACACAACCACATCACATACATCACACCAGCGCCTCAGGCCGCGGATACACTGATCATATCTGAAAGCTTGTGCATCGTAAAGCAGGTCATGTTACGAAGTTTCTTTATTCGCTGTTCGAGTTGAGTCGGGTTGGGAGGCCCAACTTACCTGCAGTACATGCATTACATAATGCTTACCTGTATTCATGCTGCAGAGCTGCACCTGAAAGTTACAGCTGCAGTCAGTTTAACATCCCGTGCCTCCAGGATTACTGCAGGTCCAGTGGTTAGATAAGTTCTAGAGACATTACAGTGCGGAGAGTAGAGTAGTTGTAGTAATTAGTTATTTGTTTATTATTGTCAGGCAGTGGAGCTAGCTTTAGGTCAGCTGCAGTGCTTTGATTAGCCCTGAAAACACTGGAGTGGTAAGCTCTAGAGCGTTTGCAGTGGTTAGATTAGGTAGTTGGTAAATTTGTTACAGAATGGTTAATTTAATCCCAGAGATTTTGCACCGATTAGTTTAGCTCTAGGGCATTTGCAGTGGTTTGATTAGAGCTAAAACACAGGAAATTACCTCTGCAGCATTTGCTGTGGTTAATTTGGCTTTAGAGATTTTGCAGTGGATAATTTAGCGCTATTGCATTTGCAGTGATTAATTTAGCTCCAGAGCATCCACGGTGGTTAATGTAGCTCTAGAGCATTTACAGTGGTTAATTTAGCTCCACTGCATTTACAGTGGTTAATTTAGCTCCACTGCATTTACAGTGGTTAATTTAGCTCTAGAGCATTTACAGTGGTTAATTTTGCTCTGCAGCATTTACAGTGGTTAATTTAGCTTAGGTCAGGTGTGTTGTCCAGTTGTACAGTTAAAGGTTAGCCAGACTGGCTGAACAAGCTCATTTACAGAATGTGTTAATGTGTCCGTGTCAATGTAAACTAATTGGACCGGATGTTCTGCACTGGTTAAACTCTCACCCTGTGAGCGTTAGAGCTGTGGCCTGTAGGCCAAGTCGTCAGGCATGAGTTACTCAGACACTGCTGTCCAGTTTAAATAAGGTAGTCAGAAAGTCTGATAACGTGTTTGTTTGTGAGGCGAGGCTCAGGAAGGAAACTCGGTCTGATACGAGCAGAAATAACCGTATTGAACTGTTCACTGAATAATGTGAATAATGAACTAATTCTCTCTTACTCTCCCTCTCTCTTTAATCTCTCTCTCCCTCTCTCTCTCTCTCTCTCTCTCTCTTTCTTTCTCTCTTTCTCTCTCTCTCTCTCTCTCTTTCTCTCTTTCTCTCTCTCTCTCTCTCTCTCTCTTTCTTTCTCTTTATTCTCTCTGTCTTTGGTTTTTCTTTCTCTGTTTTCTGTTTTTCTCTCTTCTTTCTTTTTTCTCTTTTTCTATATCTCTTCACTTAATTGTTCCCCTCTCTTGCTCTCTCATTTTACTATCTTGTTTATTCTCTCTCTTTCTTTCCCTCTCTCTCTCGCTCTCTTGCTCTCTCGCTCGCTCTTTCTCACGCTCTCCACACAGCTTGACAATGACCTCGTGCTGACCCTTGATCCTGACAACCCCACGTCACCATGGAAACACCTGGAAGACAACCTGCTCTCAGGTAACCTCCAGAGCTCCTCCTGAGAACAGAACGTGTGTGAATATTAAACAGTCCGGATCCTCAGTGGGCTCTTTTAAACAGGGTGACTGAACAGACTGAACTCATGAGAACCAGGACCACCGATATGAACACTTTGTACTGATTTAAACCCCTTAAATCACATGTGTCAGGCTCCATGCCTCACAGGCCAACACTCTGCAGACTTCAGCACATTAGACTCATTAAACACCCCGATTCAGCTCATCAGCTAATTAACAAGATGAACTACATTCAGAGCACTTTGGCTGGAAGGTCCCCAGTTTGACTGCGTGCCTTAAACAGTAGGCTTATTGTTCAGTTATTGACCTTAACACTTTAGTTGTACAACCCCATTTTCAGGACAGTTGGGACGCTGTGCAAAATGCAAATAAAAACAAAATGCAATGATGTGCAAATCATTTAACCCCTATATATAATTGAAAATAGTAAAAAGACAATATATCAAATGTTGAAACTGAGAATTTTATTGTTTTTTGAAAAATATTTGCCCTTTTTGAATTTGATGCCAACCACATGTTCCAAAAAAGTCGGGATGGGGGAACAAAAGGCTGGTAAAGTTGTGTAATGCTAAAAAAAACAACTGGCGGTTGATTGGCAACAGGTCAGTAACATGATTGGGTATAAAAGAGCATCTCAGAGAGGCGGAGTCTTTCAGAAGTAAAGATGAGGAGGGGTTCACCACTCTGTGAAAGACTGCATGATCAAATAGTACAACAATTCAAGAATAACGTTTCTCAACATAAAATGGCAAAGAACATCTGCTTTTCATCATCTACGGTACATAATATCATTAAAAGATTCAGAGAATCTGGAGAAATCTCTGTATGTAAGGGTCAAGGCCAAAAACCAGTATCTGCTGGCTGTGACCTTTGGGCCCTCAGACAGCACTACATTAAAAACAGACATGATTCTGTAGTGGAAATCACTGCATGGGCTCAGAAACACTTCTGAAAACCACTGTCTGTGAAAACAGTTCATCACTGCATCCACAAATGCAAGTTAAAACTCTAAAATGCAAAGAAGAAACCAAATATAACCAGGATCCAGAAATGCTGCCACCTTCTCTGGGTCTGAGCTCATTTAAAATGGACTGAGGGGAAGTGGAAAAGTGTCCTGTGTTCTGATGAATCAACATTTGAAATTCTTTTTGGAAATCATGGACACTGTGTCCTCCAGTCTAAAGACCACTCAGCTTGTTATCAGTGCACAGTTCAAAAGCCAGTATTCATGATGGTGTAGGGGGGCATTAGTGCACATGGTATGGGTAACGTGCACATCTGTGAAGGCACCATTAATGCTGAACAGTATATACATGCTTTGGCAACATATGCTGCCATCCAGACGACGTCTTTTTCAGGGAAGGCCTTGATTATTTCAGTAAGACAATGTCAAACCACATTCCACATGTATTACAGCAGCATTGCTCCATATTAAAAGAGTCCGGGTGCTAAACTGACCTGCCTGCAGTCCAGACCTGTCACCACTGAAAACATTTGGCGCATTATAAAATGAAAATACGACAAAGGAGACCCTGAGCTGATGAGCAGCTGAAATCCTGTATCAAACAAGAACAGGAAAACATTTCACTTCCTAAACTACAGCAGTGTCTCCTCAGTTCCCAAACACTTACAGAGTGTTGATTAAAGAAGAGGTGATGAAACACAGTGGTAAACAGGCCCCCGTCCCAACTCTTTTGGAACGTATTGTTAGCATCAAATTTAAAATGGGCAAATATTTTTCAAAAAACAATAAAAATTCTCAGGTTCAGCATTTGATTTGTTGTCTTTCTAATATTTTCTTTTAAAAATATGGTTTACATGATTTGCATATCATTGCATTTATTTAAATTCTGCATAGCGACCCAACTTTTTTGGAAATGGGGTTGTATATTAGTTATATAGCGGTTATTCACTAACTGTTATAAAACGTGTATAAGTTTTGTATTGTCGCTATCACGTTATTTCATAAAAAAACAGGCCAATAAAAATGGTCTAAAATTACTTGGAAAAAATGTTGTTCCAGTAACATCCATTATATGTCAAGAACGTTTTTCCTTCCCCTAAGAAGTTACCATTTTGAAGATACAAGATTTTATTCTGACAGTGACGATAGGTAGGGATTGAAGGATGGAGCCACATGCAAGAGCTTAGACTAACTGAATATTATAATGTCAGTCAACATAATGTTATATTTATGCTTCAAATTATAAACTCAGTAGTTTCAGTTAAACAGTGGTTTACTAACCAATATCATCGTCAGTAGGGCTGCAACAAATATTTGCTAATATTCATGAACTTGGCAATTGGAATAAACGACACGTTTACCACTTTTATAAACACATACAGGTTTGAAGGGAAAGTAGACATTTATTTCTTAAGCCAAATATTAGCTGAGCTTGTCATCAGTATCCCACAGCAGCCAGCTCTGCACACCGCACTCATGAAGAGATTGTGATTTGGATCCATTTGTGAAATTCAGGCAATTCAAGACGACAGTGTTGGTTTTATCTCCAGCTCCTGTTATGTTTGATACGGATCCAGACTGCTCTTGCATGCCCCGGTATGAAGCATGGCTTAGGAGGCTTAAGATGTTTTTTCATTGCCTTGTAGTATAACATTTTAGTGAAGAGTAGAATAAATAAATGGGTATTTATGTAATAGTGTAAAGTAATAATAAATAGTAAGTGAACTGTGTTTTGAGTTTTTCTTATTGTAATAGAAAATGTGAATAGTTGAGATGATGTTCAATAGAAAAATATGATTGTTCTGAATAGTTACATTTCTTAATCACTTAAATGGGCAGGACCCGCCGTTGGGTCCAAAGCTGGTGTTGTTTGTAAGAAAATATATTATGTTTTTAATTTGAGAATCTGTCGTAAATTGGAAAAATCTATTCAGGATGTTTAATATTTATTTGCATAAAATGTATTAATCTCGCATTGGATGATTAAAGCCTATTATTGTGAGTTGATTTTATTCATTTTTACCTTTTTAAAATTAAGGATAACCTCAGACACTAAACGTGTGTTGGCTGATGGACCCCGTTTGGGTTAAGAGGGGAAACTGTGTGGCATTGGATTATTCATCGAACTGTGGCTCTAAATGAATAAGGCTTGATGTGATGGAGAATTGGGCCAGACTGTCTGAGAGCCATAGTGCAGTACTGATTAACCTCCTGTCCTGGTTCAGGATTGGTTTATTATATTGATTAACGGTGTAATAAACTAACTGACTCTGTGCTCCTCTGTGTGCAGGTGACTTGCCTGTAATAAAAGATGAGATGACGATAACTCAGCCGCTCCCTGTGGACATGTGTGAGTGACTGTTAATTCATTCCCTTCAGCCTCTGAGTCTGTCTGAGTGCGTGAGCAGCCCTGATCGCTACAGGCCGACCTGTAGACAGACAGACCGATAGACAGACACATGCACAGATGGATACGTACATACATATATACATAAACATATGCATAAATAGTTAGATACGTAGATAAATAGATGGAAAGACAGATCGACAGATCCATAGATAAACATACAGACTGTTAGTCAGACAGAAGGAAATATATAGATTATCAGATACACAGAAATAGATAGATAGATAGATAGATAGATTTGACAGACACAAACAGATAGATAGATATAGATAGGTAAACAAACATAGATAAACAGATACACTAGATAGCTACACTGATCAGACATAACATTATGACCACCTCCTTGTTTCTCTGCTCATTGTCCATTTTATCAGCTCCACTTACTATACAGGTGCACTTTGTAGTTCTACAGTTACAGACTGTAGTCCATCTGTTTCTCTGATACTTTGTTAGCCCCCTTTTACCCTGTTCTTCAGTGGTCAGGACCCCCATGGACCCTCACAGAGCAGGTACTATTTGGGTGGTGGATCATTCTCAGCACTGCAGTAACACTGATGTGGTGGTGGTGTGTTAGTGTGTGCTGTGCTGGTACGAGTGGATCAGACACAGCGGTCCTGACCACTGAAGAACAGGGTAAAAGGGGGCTAACAAACAGACAGACAGATAGATAAACAAAGACAGATAGATAGACAGACAGACATGACAGATTGATATAACCGGGATAGGCTCCAGCACTCCCCTGCGACCCAGGAGGATAAACGACTTAGATAATGTGTGTGTGTGTGTGTGTGTGTGTGTGTGTGTGTGAGTGTGAGAGTTGTTTTTAGTGTGATGAGTTTATTGATATGTATATGTATCTGTGTGTGTTCAGTGTTCCAGGTGAAGGCTGAACCTCCATCTCCGTCTTCCTCTCCAGCGTCAGACTGCTCCATACCGTCCTTACCTGAGCCTCAGGTACTCACACACACACTCTACAGCCAGCTTTAGAGCTGGACAGACAGCCACAGCCATATGAACACAGTTTATTTAATGTTTAATTTAGACTGAATGTATATTGGAGAACCTACCATTTTAAAACCTCAAGTTTCACTATTGTGTAGTACGCTGTGTCCCAGCACAGATACACCCACAGATCAGACGTGTTTGGCACTGCTCAGTACAGACCCCCTGCTGCCCCGTCCCCCCATCAGTTCCTGTTCACACCTATTCACACTTAAACTGACTCTAATCTACATCTGTATCAGATTCAGACTGTCTGTGTTTACTGACCCTCTCACTACTGACCATACAGCTGACTAAACATCTTCCTCTCTCACACACTCTCTCTCTCTCTCTCTCTCACACACTCACTCTCTCTCTCTCTCTCTCTCTCTCTCTCACTCTCTCTCTCTCACACACTCTCTCTCTCTCACACACTCTCTCTCTGTCACTCTCTCTCTCTCTCTCTCTCTCTCTCTCTCTCTCTCTCACACTCTCTCTCTCTCTCTCTCTCTCTCTCTCTCTCTCTCTCTCTCTTTCTGTAGGTATTAGTTAAAGGGGAGAACCCCCCCACTCCTCCTTATATGTATGGTGATGTTCTGTCCCCCCCTGTGGCCACTATGGAGGTTACCGTGGCAACCACAGCCCCACCCCAGCCTCAGACGCCACTTCCTGCCCCCACAGGTACACGCATACATACCCCGCCCCCCTCACAAACACACACCTTTATGATGTTAAATTATGTCTCAGTAACATGTCTGAGCATTTTCTTGATGTTGTCAGTTTTTAAAGGTGATGTTATTTGCTGTGTTACGTTGATTATGTAGCCCAGCGCTCAGTGGAAGGAAAAAGGAATCATTTCAAACAGGCCCCCCTGAAGAAACTAATGACGTGTCCTTGGCCACGAGCTCATGTTTAGCACTCGCATTTCGAAGTACCAAAGTATAATGTAACTCGCTCACAAATACAGTGAAAATACGATGATTGGTTTCACTGAATTGTATGTTTTCTCTGTGCTGATGTAACAAATGCTAGTCCTCGAGCCTGTGCGCCGTAGTCTTTATTTATTATCTAGCCCTACTTTAGTTCATGTTACCGAATTAGTTCAAACTGCAGCCCCACAGTAAAAAAAAAATGTATTAAAGCACAATGAAGTGTTCAGACATTACATATTTACAAGGATTATGTTATGAGAACATAATTTTTTTTGTAAGATTTTCACAAATTTTATAAGTGCTGTTGAAATATTTAGATTCATTTAATTTAATTTAATTTGTAAATATGTTGTAAATATTTGTAAATATGGTGTCCAATGTTTTCATGTCACTACCAAAACACAAAGAGGTTTAGTCAGCAGGCGGAGCTTATTTTAGCCACGCCCTGCATTTTAGAGCATTAAGTGAGACTGCATCCCTGTCCCTTGTGGTCACTTGGTGAGTAGTTAGACCCCATTGTGAAGTAAATGTGTCCCAAACTCTGAAAATCAGTGAGGAACATTAAGAATTTAAGAAACATATTTTCTGCAGTTCAGTAAAATTTTAGAGTTTTAATGAAAAATATTAATATTTTGTGTGTGAACAGCTGTTCAAAGCTGTGCTTGCTGGTCATGTACTGGCTGTGTTTTTGGGTTTTGCTCAAAATGAGCTAAAATTGTCACCACTGAAACAGTCACTACTAAACATTTGCAGAGACAAAATGGAAATGGAGCGTTAAATCATTAGGTTTAATAAAATAAATAGAATTAAGGTACAGAGTCACGCAAAGCAGAAGGATTTTGGGCTGAAGTTCAGTCAGTGAAAAAAGCCCCATTATATAAGAAAATGTTTTGACAGCAGTGATATATTAAAGCAATAAGCAACAAACGGGAAGGGTGTTCTTAGAAAGCTCCCTTCCCTGTGATAAAACGCACTGCGTCAAGTGGCTTATTGCTTTTATAAAACGGTGACCAACATAAAATATGATGAAATGCAGAATTTTATATTAATAATAATCAACATAAACGAGTATTCCTCCAAGGAATGCAGTTCCTTTAGAGTGTGGTATCATTGCCAAGCAACTTGCGGAATGAGGAGAATATTCGGTCACCCATCGCTATATATTACAGTGATTTTATAGTTTTTTTAGCTTTTTATCATATAACAATGAACGTATGATAACAGCCCTGTTTAATACAGAAACTTTCTCTTTATAAGTACTGTTTGGTTCACCAAATCAACACTGCGAGTCTTATTGAGGACCAATCCAGCGGTGCCCTCTTCTCACACTGGGGCTGAATCTGAAACAGCTCCCTGCTCCCTACATAGTGCACTACGTAGGAGTTTAAATACTGGATCCTGCAGCCCAACAGAGCAGAATACAGCTAAGAAACAGTCATTTGGGACTCAGACTCATCCACACTCGATACATGATGCACTGTTTGACTGTAGAGGCTAGAACTTCTAAACTTTCATAGCTAGAACACTATTTAGGGAATACAGAGCCGTTTGGGATTCAGTCTGGGTTTGACGCAACTTCTGACTGAAACAGGAACATTTGAAGTGTGTAAAACATTCAAGTGACATTTTTAGACTTTTGTACTGCTGTTTTACAGTTAATCACACTGTAAGTGCTTTAATTCAAGCCTGTGATATTAATGATGGAGCTGTTTAGGCTGTTGGCTCTTTTAGCCTGTTAGCTCGCTGACCAGCCTGGTTCTGGTTAAGAACATAAGTTATCAGCCCCTCAGTTTAAACAGACAGCAGGTTCTTACTTCATCAGTGCACTCGGGGCTCCGTGTGAGCAGCATCAGAGTCAAAGATTAATCCATTACCAGCACAAGGGTTTTTCCATGGTGCAGTAATACTCAGTTCAGTCACTGTGAGGCGGCCATAGGTGTAGGTATATCTTGGAATTTACAACGGCTTCGAACGCAGCTCAGCCAATCAGAGTTTAGGACCAGAACTATCCGTCTTATAAAACGTTTAAAAAAAAATAAAAAATACCACCTTCTGCACATACACTCACCCACGCAGAGCGCAGATGCAGGTACACTCACTCAGGTGTGTTTATCCAGTGTAGCTGGGTGAGATGTGAGTGAACAGGTCAGACTGCTGTGTTCAGTAAATGAGGAAACAGAGATGTGTTTGTGGTTTTTGCTCATGTTCATCATTCCTGAACTTCAGGCACTGCAGGGAGACACACGTTATAGATTAGGGATGTGCAGCGGTTAGTGCTGCACGTTATACCGGTTCGCCCAGTATACCGGTCGAAATTCTTTATCAGCGTACAGTCGTATGCAAAAGTTTGAGCACCTCCGCTCAAATTACGTGCAGTTGATTTAAGTGAAGGTTAACACTTCCTGTACATTGTTCTGCTAATCTTAGGGTACAGTTTTCTATATACATGTTCACCAAATAAGATATAAAACGTGCCATAACTTTTGCACGGGCCACATTTTATGTTGTATTTCTCTTGCAATATGATAAATAAAATAAACAGTTATTGTGCATTAAAATGTGCAGAAGTGTGTTCTCGGTAAAGGGGGTTAGTTCACTTATTTACGCCGAGAAACAAATGTGTGTGTGTGTGTGTGTACATGTGTGTGTATATATATATATATATATATATATATATATATATATATATGTGTGTGTGTATATATGTATATATACACACACACACACACACACTGTGTCCACTCACTGTCCACTCCATTAGACACTCCTACCTTGTCGATCCACCTTGTAGATGTAAAGTCAGAGACGATAGCTCATCTGCTGCTGCACAGTTTGTGTTGGTCATCCTCTAGTCCTTCATCAGTGGTCACAGGACGCTGCCCACAGGACGCTGCCCACAGGACGCTGCCCACAGGACGCTGTTGGCTGGATATTTTTGGTTGGTGGACTATTCTCAGTCCAGCAGTGACACTGAGGTGTTTAAAAACTCCAGCAGCACTGCTGTGTCTGATCCACTCAGACCAGCACAACACACACTAACACACCACCACCACGTCAGTGTTACTGCAGTGCTGAGAATGATCCACCACCCAAATAGTACCTGCTCTGTGAGGGTCCATGGGGGTCCTGACCACTGAAGAACAGGGTAAAAGGGGGCTAACAAAGTATCAGAGAAACAGATGGACTACAGTCTGTAACTGTAGAACTACAAAGTGCACCTATATAGTAAGTATATATATATATGTATGTGTGTGTGTGTATATTGCTATTGCTATATATATGCTATACACAGGTACTCACTATTGCTCTGCTCTCTCTCTCTCTCTCTCTCTCTCTCTCTCTCTCTCTCTCTCTCTCTCTCTCTCTCTCTCTCTCTGTGCCGTAGTGATCTCCACTGCTGCCACTCTGAAGGCGAGCTCTATTCTGAGCAGTAAGCCTCTACTGCAGCCCAGGCCGGTCTGTGTGGCCGCTGTTCCGGTTCCTCAGTCGTCCAGTCCGGCTAAAACTCTGATCCTGCAGAGCCTGCCGGTGTCCGTCCCCACCATTGACCAGAGCAGGACCCCCGGTGAGCGGAAAACACACACCTTCAATGTTCAATACACACATATATCTGTCTGTTCAGCGTACAGCTGTTTAGCTCCGCCCACTCACTGAAGTTATAAGGAGGCTTTCAGCCTGGGCTGCTGTTTGAATGTGGTGCAGCCACTCAGAACAGTACTCATTTGCATATAAACGTTCATGACTGCAAAAATCAGAGACCACCCTTCATTTATTTAATTTCCATGAAGTACAATTTCGTTATTCAGCTTTAGGGGAAAAAAACAGAACATTACACAGAAGCCTCAACAACTAAATATAACATCAGTTTTTTCAGTGTTTAGTGTGTCCACTCTTTACCTTCATTACAGCTTCCTTCCTTTCAGTTTCTCAAAGAAAAAAAGGAATATTTTTCCACACCTCCAGAGTTCAGACTTAGAAGGAAATAGACAGAAAAGAACATTTTCAGATCAAACAAAGAAGCTGCTGGTGTTCTCAGAACAATGGACTGACCAGCCCAGAGTCCAGACCTCAACATCACTGAATGTGTTTGATTACATCAGAAAATCATCAACCAGCTTCTAAGACTGAACTGAAGGAAGCATGAAAACACTGCTTTATCAGAAACACCTACTTTGTACTTCCACTCACTGGCCACTTTATTAGAAACACCTACCTTATAGGTTCATTCATTATTTATTAATTAATTACTGATAATCTCTGTGTTTCCCGCAGTGGTTCTGTCTCAGTCGATGTGTTTGGGTTCTGCTCCTGCCATCGTTAAAATGGAGCCCGTATCCCCCAGCATGCCCCACTGCAGCAGCCCCACGGCCCCGCCCACCACCACCAAGCCCATCATCCCAGCATCCTCTCTGCCTGGCAGCAACTGCAGCGACATCGATGTGAGTCCTGTGGGGAAAGTAAAAGATCTGTGGGCAGAAATAACAATTACTGCTTTGAAATGATTTCAGGCTTTGAATCATCAAGATGTGTGAAATTATTTGTTAACTTAAAACATGTTTAACTACCAAAGCAGAGGAAGCGGAGATGCTGAATGTTCTCGCTCCTCCTCCTCCGCAGATGAAGGTGCTGAAGCGGCAGCAGCGAATGATAAAGAACAGAGAGTCGGCCTGTCAGAGCCGGAAGAAGAAGAAGGAATATCTGCAGAACCTGGAGTCTCAGCTCCGCGAGGCCCAGCAGGAGAACGAGCGGCTACGCAGAGAGAACCAGCAGCTACGGCTGAGACTGGCTGGAAAAGAGGTGAGAGAGAGAAAGAGAGAACAGATAGAACACAGAGAGATGACAGAGGGAGGAGAGAAAAACGGGAGAGAACAGAGAGAGAGAGAGAACCAGCAGCTACGGCTGAGCCTGGCTGGAAAAGAGCTAAGAGAGAGAGAAAGAGAGAACAGATAGAACAGAGGGAGGAGAGACAGAACAGAAAGAGAGAACAGAGTGAGAGACAGAAAGAGAACAGAGAGAGAATGGCTACGACTGAGCCTGGCTGAGAGAGAGAGAACAGAGAGATGACAGAGGGAGGAGAGACAGAACAGAGAGGGAAATCAGAGAGAAAGAACAGAGAGGGAAATCAGAGAGAAAGAACAGAGTGAGAGACAGAAAGAGAACTGAGAGAAAACCAGCAGCTATGACTGAGACTAGAAAGAGGTGAGAGAGAGAAAGAGAGAACAGATAGAACACAGAGAGATGACAGAGGGAGGAGAGACAGAACAGAGAGGGAAATCGGAGAGAGAGAACAGAGTGAGAGACAGAAAGAGAACTGAGAGAGAACAGCTACGACTGAGCCTGGCTGGAAAAGAGGTGAGAGAGAGAACGGATAGAACACAGAGATAACAGAGGGAGGAGAGACAGAATAGAAAGAGAGAACAGAGTGAGAGACAGAAAGAGAACAGAGAGAGAACGAATACGACCGAGCCTGGCTGGAAAAGAGGTGAGAGAGAGGGAGGAGTGTAAAGGAGGGAGTGTGTAGTTATGCCTGTGCCAGTGATGGTTAACCAGGGTACTGTGGTAACAGCCACCAGTGACAGAAGAAATTGTTCATTTGTTGATTTATTTAATGCGAAATACGTGAACATAACTAAGCTTTTAAACATGCCGGGTGATGTCATGGTCTACATCAAGAGTTCCCAGCCTTTTGGAGCTCATGGCCCACCAGCCAACCACAACAGCTTCTGCCGTTATTCTTACTGTAGATGGTCCAGCCTCGGTCACCTCGGTTTATTAATAAAGGGTAATTTCTATATGATCAGAAAAAGAAAATGTTTTACATTAATTTACACTGAAAATATAACATTAACTAGCTCACATATCGCCACAACAGTGTGCTTGACTTCAGCATAATTATTTTGTAAATAAATATTGCAATAATGTTTTTCATATTTAATTACATTCGGTTAGCTGTGTACATGTTGTAGGGCTGCAGTTATCAAACTTTTATTGGTGAATATTCTGTTGAGTATCATCTCAAGTGTTTGAATATTCTGGAAGAATAAAACAAAAAAATCAGTTTAATAACTTAATTCTTCTCCTCAGTCTTATCATTTGCTATTGTTGTTGATTTTGTAAGTGTGGACACTTCTGCACATTTTAATGCACAGTTACTGTTTATTTACAGAACTGAACATATTGGAGGAAACAATGAAACAAGAAAATATAAAATGTGGCCTGTGCAAAAGTTATGGCACACTTTATATTTTTTCTTCCAGTAAGTTAAATGAATAGACATTGTGCACTAAAATATGCAGAAGAATAGTACATGTAGGTGTGTTCTCCATAGAGACTGTTAACTTATTGTTAGAGATTGATTAGAAAATCTACAAAGCATGTCATTTGAAACTTCCTGTGTGTATATATATATATATATATATATGTGTATATATATATATATATATTCTCCCTGTCTCTGTTCCAGGGTGGTGAAACCGGTAACAATAAGAGAGCGGTCTGTGTGATGGTGGTCCTGCTTTTCATCACCTTCAGCTTCGCTCCAGTCAGGTACCCACACTGCACTGCACCCACTGTTCTCTACACTGAGCTGCTCAGAACAGAAATAACACTGTAAACCAGGGGCTCCTACTCTCGACCCAGCCAACGAGGAGCTTGTCAATTAGCTAGTGAGCTCAGTCAGGTGTGCTGATGAGGGAAAGCATTAGAATATGCACAGTGTGGGGTCTCCAGGACTGAGACTGGAAACCCCTGCCTTACACTGCGCATCAGGACAGGAACGTATTCAGACTGTTTAAAATGGGGTTGCCAGGTTTTACTGATTTTATCGGGGAGACAAACTACTAGGAAGAAAATGAACTAAGACAGAGGTCTGTAACGTTCGTCTGTGCACACAGTAACACACGTTTGTTCACCCCTGGTCAAATGAGATGTTTTGTCGATTTTTCTAAGTGAAAGTTAGCACGTCCTCCAGGGCAGGGATGAACTCAACCACTAAAGGGCCATATTAAAAAAATCTCAACAAACCCGAGGGCCAGCTGTGTTTTTATTTATTTATACTTAACATTTTGCTATGACCCCAACTGGCCATTCTTTACTGAAAAATATACAAAAACTGCAACAGCAAAATAGGCACTGAATATTCAAAAATAATTAAAAACATATATATATATATAAAAAACAATAGTCTCTCTATGCTAAACGTCTTTAATGTCCCCAGGAGGTAGTTTTTAAAACTGCCTCTTTGCTCATACTAGGCACCGGGCATCTATTATTTTTGTGTAACCACTGACCCATAGAAGGGGGTCAGAGTGATCATTATGTTGCAGTGCATGCTGGGAATTGCAGTGCAGCTTATGGTGAAAAGGGCTAATATTAATAGAAAATCAAAATAATTTTGCGGGCCGAAGAGGATTGTGCCACGGTTTGACACATGGAACATTTTCAGCATTTCTCAGCATTTATTTGCAGATTTTAATATATTGGAAAAAATGGCAACATACAACGTCGCCTGTGCAAAAGTTATGGCACATTTCTAACTTACAGGGTAGCCAATCAGAACAGAGTTTATTTACATACATCAGTCTTAAAGTCACAGGTACATAAAACCACACAAATTAAACATGTAGACCTCAGCAGGGAAAAAATAAAATACAAGACAAATGTAGTATATTGGCCCTTTAAATCGGTTATCTGACCACTCACTCCCTCTCACCTCTCAGCATCACAGACAAGAAGCTGGCGTCCGTGCTGGAGGAAGGGGCGGAGCATCACACAGGGAGACACCTGATGGTGTACGAGAAGGATCAGGAGCTGGGCAAGGCGGCGGCGAGCGACAGAGTGGTGGAGGAGAGGATAGAGAGCGAGGAGGACGGAGGGGAGGAGAGGTGGAGGAGAGGAGAGATGGAGAGAGACAGCGCAGACTCGTTTCACTTCAGGTGGGTTCACTCATCACTCAGCATCAGTCGAGGAGGCTCAGAACAGACAGCCAGAGCTCGGATCATAAAACAGGCAGACGGTGTGGACGTTTACATTCATATACACTTTTATTTATAAATATACACCTTTACTCAATTATAGTGAAAGTTAATGAGTCTTTTTAACTGTTTACGCTATTCAGCTGTAATTTAAGCTGTGTTTATCTATCATTCCACCCTCATCTGCAACCTGAGATGATCATCCTGGATTGAAGACATTCCTACAGTCTTGGTGCCCTGGTCAACTGCATGTTGTTGATTTTCTAAGTGAAAATAAGGATCACATCCTCCTCAGAGACACACTTCTGCACATTTTAATGCACAATCACTGTTTATTTGCTGAATTTAACATACTGGGAAAAATAAAACCTGAACTGTCGCCTGTGTAAAATATTTGTTTTTTTAAAATGTATGTTGAACCCAGCAAGAAATTGTGCATTAATATTAGCATTAGCCATGTTTAAGTGTGTTCTCTGTAGAGGGTGACTTATTTTCAGTCAACACAACAGGTAATTTGACCAGGGGAGCCCAGACTTTTGTGCATACGACTACATTTCCCTGTGCTCTGGACAAGCGCTTCACCACGAGACTAAATATGAGCTCGAACAGCTAAAATAACTCAACAGAAAGGTGTTTTAGACAGAGCTGCACCGCTGAGCGCCGCTCGCAGCTCCAGCATTGTTCATTATAGCGCGGAGCATCACAATATTCGAGTTCGCCGGCCTGACTGTGTGGTGCAGTACAGATTCTTACCTCATGCTGATCCAGTTTTACTCTTTTATTTTAGTCTGTTAGACAGATTTAATGTCACTGTTGAGCAAATCAGCTCGCAAATCTGATCCAACAGGCTAAACTTACTGTGACAAACTTAGCAGGTCTGGGCTTTATTAGATACAGGAAACAGTGAAGTGAAGTGAAGGAAACGGTGAAGGATTATTTTAGACACCAGCTACAGTCTGCATAACAGAACTGAGGTTGAGTGAGGAGGTAAAAACGGGAGAGAACAACTAAAAACTGCTGCCATACAAGAGAACTGAAGGAGATAATAGAGTGTGCGGTAGGTGCAAGCTGGGGTCTGATCAGCCACGGCTGGGTCGCCTGGACGAGGGTGTCCGATGTTGAAAAACTCAAAACACCCAGCGACCCCAGCGCATCCGAAATATCGTTCATCTTCATAATAATAATAATAGCAATAATAAAAATAGTAATTGCATGACTAAATATTGCTAGTAATAATAGCAATTACTGTTGCTGTGTAGTTGTTATTATTATTGGTACTCTTTTTTGGCATTGTGATATATTATCATCTGAATAGTAGAAAATAGTGTGATAGAAATTTGAGTTTGTGTCAGCGACTCCCACACTGAAACACACTTCATTAAAATATAAGAAAGTGTAGTAATTATTACCGTGTAAAGTGTTATCCCATCTCTCTGTCTCTCTCTCTCTCTCTCTCTCTCTCTCTCTCTCTGTCTCTCTCTCTCTCTCTCTCTCCCCTCTCTGACTGTAGGAATGTGAGCAGTGTGTTCAGTGAGGTGAAGGATCTGGTCCTGCAGGACATCGACCGGCTCTTCTCCTCCTCTGACTGCAGACAGTTCAACCGCTCCGAGTCACTCAGGTTGGCATGGCGACTGGGGTCACAGCCCTGGGCTATTTGCTCTGATTGGTTCAGCTATAGTGTGACAGAACTGCTCCGCTGCTTTATTTCCAAACTCAGTCTGAATCAACCATGACTTCATCCTCTATCCTTTACACTGAACTCCTCCATTGTGTTTTGGGGAGTCAGGCTCGTGCTAAACATGCTATACATGGTACGACTGTACTGTGTCAGATAAAGGTGCTGTGCTGGTACAGTTTGTGTTTGGCAAGTTGCAAACAATGTAAATGTCCCCTCGAAGGCACGACAGTGGTTTTAAGGTCAAACTGTGTACTTTAAATGTCCAGTTTTTGTCCAGGGTAAGTGTACGTGAGTGTCTACGTGCATTGTTACGTGTATAATGATGGTAAAATAGTGGAAACTCTGAAATAGTAAGTTTTCTTTGGGGACTGTTTATCCAGCAACACCCCGTATGTATCACACTGCCATGAATGGATGTTAAAAATACATTTTAGTCCAAAGTTTTATCAAAACTATTGTAAAAAATGCATCAGGCACCAGATTTGTTACCATTTCATGTGAAAGGGCTTTTAGAAACTTTAAATGCTTTGGATGTGTGGTTCCCATCTCCTCCACTGTAAAGAAATCTGAGTCGACAAGTTTCTCTAGAGTGGAGCATTCATATTTATATATAGTAACTTTTCGACAGTTGACAAAATTAGTGTAATTAGTGTAGTCATTTGATGAACAAGATTTTATTTTATTATTGTATCATGTTCAGAATATGTGTAAGGATTTTTCATGTAGTGGGAAAAAAATGGTAAAAATGGAGTTAATATGAATGCAGCTGTGTTGGTCAAATGGGTTTTAGTCAAAGTACTACAGTTTGATCATCTCCCTCTCTCTCTCTCTCTCTCTCTCTCTCTCTCTCTCAGGCTTGCTGATGAGCTGCGCGGTTGGGTTCATCGTCATCAGATTGACAGGAAGAAGTCTGGTGGGAAAGCGAAAGTCGCGCAGAAGGCTAAAATAGCTCAGGTGAGAAACCAAAGCTCCACCACAGTCAGAAACGCAACCGCAGACCGAAACATCAGCAAGAGTTCGAAACTCAGCTGAGCGTTTTTCTGAACATGCACAGCTCTGCAGTCACCGCAGAGAATTTCATTCAGCGGCTCTCGGGCCCTGTACTGGCCACCTTCTGTTAACCTGCTAGCAACATTAGCTGTATAAGTCTACTCAGACTCGTCTCTGTGTTAAGGTAAGAAGGTCTTCTGTCCTTGTTTAATATCCTCATATTGAAACAGAATTAAACAGTCCTTTCTCTGCACTGGAATCTACGCTCAGATTTTAAAAACAGGGCGCTGCTTTCCTCATTCAGCATCCAATCGATGAACAGGTTTTATTTCTAAGAGTCTAACATTAGGAGGAGGACTCTCTTTTAACCTTGCACTGTTCTGGATTCCAGTGGTTAGAATACACATCAAGAAACGCCAAAACCTCTGAGGCACTCCAAATAAGTTTTTTGACGTTTATACTTATCCTGTCCAAAGAGCACCTCAAATAAACTAGATTTGGGTCCAGGAAGCGCACCTATCCAGACTTTTTTTTTTTTTTTAATACAGTTTAACTGAGACTGGTTGATATTGATTATTATTATATATATTATTAAATATTATTATATTTATTATATTTATTATGGTTGTTATCTATCCTGTGTAATGAATGCAAATGTCAATTCTTGATTTGGAATTGGCGAACAGAAAGTCTCAGTCTTGACTCAGACTGAATCTGTCCAGGCTTTGGTCTGCATTTAGGTTTGGCCTTTACAAAGGCTTGGTTTTGACAAGGACTCTGCTACTACAAAAGCTTTGGCCTTGACTCTGACTCTTCTACTATCTATTGCTAACTCTCTGTCTTGATGGCTACAGCATAGACTCGGTCTTGACTCACACTCGGCTACAACAAAGACTCTGTCTTGACTCTGACTCTGGTCCTACGAAGGCTTGGCCTTGACTCAGACTCTGCTCCTACAAAGGCTCGGTCTTGATTCTGACTCGGCTACTACAAAGGCTCGGTCTTGATTCTGACTCGGCTACTACAAAGGCTCGGTCTTGATTCTGACTCGGCTACAACAAAGGCTTGGTCCTGACTTGGATTCTGCTACAACAAAGACTTGATCTTGGTTACTACAAAAGCTCGGTCCTGACTAGGACTCGTCTCCAACAAAGTCTTGACCTTGACTCTGCTACAACATAGACTCAGGATTGGCTACTACAAAGGCTCGACCTCAGTCCGACTTGGTTACCTCAAAGTCTTGGTCTTGATTTGATCTGGACGCGTTGTGTCCAGGTTTGAGTCTAGACTACAACCATATACCATAAATATATATATATATATATATATATATATATATATATATATATATATATATATATATATATATATATATATATATAAGAATACAGTGGGCTATAAAGTCACATGAATCTTCAGTAATATTCATGGGTCAGTAAAAGTAGGTGCCTCGATTTGTAGTTGAATTTGAGATGTTTGCCGGCTCCCTGTACAGTGAGCTGTAAAAGGCATTATGTGATTGTTTTATGTTCTGTGTAGTGCACTGTGTGTCCAGTGAGGAGCTGTTCTGTATTCACCTCAAGTATCGGTGCTCAATTACACAAAATTATATAAAATAATCTTGTTTCTGATTCTGATGTTTCTCTCCTGAAGCAGAAAGCCCAGCACAGAAAGACTAACTTCTCCAGGTATCTCCCCATCGAGGCTCATCGCTCCATTGAGAGGTAGGAACACTACGTATTCCAGCATGCACTGCTTCAATGCAGATTAAAATGGAGTACATGCTCTGATCTCCGTTCTTTTCTGGTGTTCAGTCAGCTGCAGCTGCTGCCCGGTCCGGAGGTGAGCTACAGCGATTTTCTGGACGCGATTGACCGGAGGGAGGACACGTTTTACGTTGTGTCTTTCAGACGGGTAAGAAACACTGCACCAGCCTCAGAAACGCTGACAGCACAGCATTTCACTGCTAAAGTGTGAATGTTGGGGTCAAACTGAAAATGACTTTTCTGGCTTTTGGCTCAGCAAAAATTATTTCCATTTTAGAATAATTAGGCCTACAAAACAGTGTCACTATATAGCGCCGTGCAAATGATTTCAGTGGTACTGAGAGTTAAGAACAGTGGTTAAAAAGACACTTTGCTCTCCTTCACCAGTGTTTGCTGATGCGTTCATGCAGCACATTATACAACAAAAATAAATAAGAAAAAAATAAGACATCTGGTGGCTGATTCTCAGTTTCGGTTTTCAGCTACTCCTGAATTTCAGTTTCAGCGAAATTATTTTTGTTTCAGTGCTTCGCTGTTGTGTACCAACACATTCAAAGACGTCTTAAATTATAAACAACTGAGTGGAGCAGTGGGGATTTTTCTGAAGCCGTAATGGGGCTGGATTAGTTGTATCTGGAGAGGTGCTGTAATTTGAGTGATAACTGGTAAGATCTGTGATTTTAATCCAGTATGAATCTGCAGTGTCTGTAGTTTTTACAGGTCTGCTGAGTCATAATTCTGGAGTGAATTACCTTCTATGATTTGCAGAACCTGGATCTCCTTCAGTAACAGTAGTTACTCTATTTGACCTCACAGTAATGTAATTACAAAGCCTGCTAATAGACTTCAGCACCTCTGTCTTTTTTTGGTGAACAGAAGACGAGGCTATTCGCTAAAACAGAGCCTGACTTGCTTCATTTCCTTTAGATAAAATCAAATACAGGACTACTGTAATCTACAACATGTTTGCTGATATTTTCAAGCACTGTATTTTCTTGAGTCTAGTCCAATATTCAACTCATGTTTTTAGAGTGCAGGCATTTCAAAAATACAGTGAAATCTTTATGGCACAGCAGTCCTGCATATAAAAATCTATAAACAGACATACGCAGGGGGGGCAGTAGGGGAGGGAGGTACTGCACATACGAGAAGGATAATTGACACACTAGACAGCAAGTAACAATAGAAAAGGCACCAACAGTACAGGCAGTAAGAATGAGGTAGATGGCAGTTATAACATTTGTATTGTGAATATACAGTGTAGAAGGTGTAGTACGCTGTGCAGAAACCAAGATGGCGCCGTTCTGTAGCTGCTCCTCTTAAATCTAGTTTTAATTATCCTGCTGATGCGAATATCCGGGCTGTGACGCTTCGATCCAGACTGTTTGGGCTAACTCTGGGAAATTCCACAGATTCTTCATCCTGTATGAATCAGTCAGTCAAATCCCGACCAATCACATTACAGAACGTCCCCAGAAAACTAATCCTGATTGAATAGGGCTTAACAGGGACAGTGGGAATTGTGTCTGATGAATGTGAATGAATTTCCTCTCTCTGTTCTTTCAGGATCACCTGCTTCTTCCTGCTATAAGCCACAATAAAACCACACGACCCAAGATGTCTCTTGTCATGCCAGCGATGACCGTCAATGGTAAGATAATCAGAATGAAAACATTTCAAAACGTCCTTTAAAAATGGATCGTGCTTTCATTTTTGGAAACGTTTGTGTTCTCAGGAGCAGTGAGTGAGTTTGTAAAGCATTTTTAAGCGTAATAATATCGATTTTCTGTATTGGCTGGTCTGTCCCTGTATGTAGTGGGAAGGGAAGGCAGCTCTCTGGAGTCTGCAGTGTAGCTCTGTGGGTTTGATTGTTTTGATAGTCCATCTTCTCAAAGCCTGCTGTTCCAGTCTGTCACGTTACTGACTGTTTATCGTTCACTGTAAATAGCTGAATACTTAGTTTCGTTTCTTTAATTATTAGCCACTTTAATACTTTTTCTCTCTGTTCTTCTGTTGAAGCAGTTTGAAGAGTTTAATATTACAAATATTACTGGTATCTATGATACCAATACTAAGAACAAAAATAGAAAATAAAAATTGTACTGATAATTGTGTGGTACAAAAGTGGATGTACTTCTTTTACATGCACATTGTAATAAACAAATGCTGCAACTAATCCATGCTCCATTTAAAGACGTTACACTGTGCTTTCAATTTTACTACTAACAAAATAAACAGTACAGTACAGCTTGTGCAGAAGCATCTCATACACTTCAGTAATACAGCATGTCAATGTTATTTTGGGAAAATAATCACACTACATAAAGCTTTGCCTGTGAGCACAGCCATTGGCTCGTGAGCCAAAAAAAGTTCTTGAAAAGGCAGCATATGTTGCTCTGAAATGTGTTCAGCATTAATTGTGCTCTCACAGATGTGATCCGTTACCCCCTGCCGTCCCCATTAGCATGACAAACCCTTGATTTTGAACTTAAAGCTGGTAACAAATTGGATGGTCCTTTACTTCTCCAGAGGGTACACGTTTCCATTCAGCGTCTGTCCATTTTACATGAGCTTGAGCCCAGAGAAGTCGGCGGCGTTTCTGCACATTGTTGATATGACTCCCGCTGTGCACAGCACAGGCTTAACTCGCATTTCTGGATGCAGTGATGTTTCACAGCATTCCTAGTCTTAAATTGCCCCTATCCCAGCTTTTTTGGAACATGTTGCAGGCATCAATTTCAGAATGAAAACAATTAAGTTGATAAGAAAAAACATTAGATACCTGATGTTGTACTGTTTTTGTTTAAATACAGGTCAAAGTAGATTTAAAAATCTGATTTTCTGTTTTCTGATTTTATTTGCATTTCAATACTGTCCCAACTTTTTTGGGATTGAAGTTTGTAGTTTTTGATGGTGTTTTTGTCCAGCACTGGTGTTTTTTTATTTTTTTTTTTTTACACTGTTCCACATGAACACACCTCAGAAAAAGTAAATTTCATGATGTGTATTGAAAAAATGTCTTATGACAATGATCTTTTTGCTGCACCACCCACCCGTACTGTAAATTTCTGTTAATTTTTTTTTTTAGTCTAGTACAGTTCTTTATACTATTTGGTTTAGTTTATAATGTGACTGCTGTACTCATATCTCTCTCTCTCTCTCTCTCTCTCTCTCTCTCTCTCTCTATCTCTCTCTCTCTCTGTCTATAGAGTCGGTGTATAACTCCTCTCAGGGGGGTTATGAGCTGATGATGCAGGTTGACTGTGAAGTGATGGACACCAGGATCATCCCCATTAAATCCTCAGCAGTCCCGCCCTCTCTCAGAGACCCACCCCCGGCCCCGCCTCCTCACCACCATCACCACAGCAACCACACCCGGCAGCACCATGGCAATGGGGCAGCGTCGTCACGGCAACCAATACACAGGAGGGGTGCGGAGTATCAGATCAGCCAATCAGGATCAGTCTGAGAGGAAGCAATAAAGACTGGGAAAAAGGGAGGAGGAGACAGACGGTGGGCGGAGTTTAGAGAGTGGACGATAAATTGGTTCTAAGAATGCAGAAAATCTCATCTGCAAAACGTTATCAGTGCAACGTTGGAAAACACACCCAGAAAAACATCTGCAAAAAGCATAAATAGTTTTTTATTTTTTTTTCTTTTGGTGTGTGTGTGTGTGTCATAAAGTGTCCAACTAGCACGCTTCCAGATCATTAATTTATAAGAAAAAAGAATTTATACAAAAAATAAATAAATACAAAAAAATCCACTGCTGTTAAAGAGCAGTGCTGTAGTCTGTAGGTGAACAGCACACAGGCAGTCTTTCTGTATATTTGTATTGATAATTTTTGTTTGTTTATTTGTTTATTTTTTTTGTTTTTGTTTTGGGTTCCTGCTTGGTGGTGCAGCTTTGATGCGAGTCATCAATCTGGTGTTTTATTTTTTGTTTGTTTCTTTTTTAATTGTTTTTGTTTTTATGTCCACAGAATCCTATTGCGGTTATTTAATGAGAAATCTTGCTTATGATAGATGTATATATTAGAGTTACTGTGTGAAGACTTTAATCGCTCCTGCATTTAAAATACGTTTTTATATGTAACACACACACACACACACACACACACACACACACACACACACACACACACTCAGAGACACACACACACACTCAGACACAAACACACACACACACACACAGACAGACACACACACACACACACAGACAGACACACACACTCAGACACACACACACACACACTCAGACACACACACAGACAGACACACACACTCAGACACACACACACACTCAGCCACACACACACACACACACACACACTCAGACACACACACACACACACACAGACAGACACACACACACACACACACTCAGACACACACACACACACACACACACAGACAGACAGACAGACACACACACTCAGACACACACACACACACACACACACACTCAGACACACACACACACACAGACAGACACACACACACACACACTCAGACACACACACACACACACACACACACACACTCAGAGACACACACACACACACACACTCAGACACAAACACACACACACACACACACACAGACAGACACACACACACACACACAGACAGACACACACACTCAGACACACACACACACACACACACACACACACACACACTCAGACACACACACACACACACACAGACAGACACACACACTCAGACACACACACACACTCAGCCACACACACACACACACACACACACTCAGACACACACACACACACACACAGACAGACACACACACACACACACACTCAGACACACACACACACACACACACACAGACAGACAGACACACACACTCAGACACACACACACACACACACTCAGACACACACACACACACACTCAGACACACACACACACACACACACACACACACACACACACACACACACACACAGACAGACAGACACACACACTCAGACACACACACACACACACACACTCAGACACACACACACACAGACAGACACACACACACACACTCAGACACACACATACTCACACACACACTCTCACAAGCGCACACAGACACACACACACACACCACTGTAATAGGAACTCATAAAGTGCAAAAACCTGTTACTGGAGTTTTTTGCTAACTAGAGCGTCTAAACCCAGAACAAAGACCTTAAACGTCACAGTGCCATCTAGTGAAACTTTTTAAAACTGCCGCTATCTCACTCTGTGGTAAACAAAAATGTCCCAAAGCCTTTACATTTTTCCTCTGTTCATCTTCCTCTGAATGTCACTGGATCCTCTCAGTTATAAGGTCTACTATGAGTCATAATGCAAATACTGACACACTTCAAACAAGCTAACACTCACACGCATTAAAACAACGTTGAATGAGTAAGTCTTCTTTTAAACGTGTGTCAGCTCGCATGTAGTAATATTTGTATTTCCACTGTTTAAAGACCTCATACAGGACCCAGTGATATTCAGGGGCAAACATATATAGGAAAACATACATCAGCCTTTATGGGATTTTGATTTCCACAGAGTGTGATAGCAGCTGTTTTCAGATGCACTGTTCATTTTCCCATAGACGATAACTGCTCAGACCAGTTCCTTATATGGGCCTGAAGCCAACTACAGAATGACAACCCAACTTGAGAGCTCTATGCATTGGAGATGCACGACTGTGCTGTAATTCTGACACTTTTTGCTCTAGTCAATCTTCACAACATCCTCATTATTTACTATAAGGATGCACCAGTTGTGGCCCTGCAGCTGTTTGCTGTTGAGCGTATATCTGTGTGTGTGTGTGTGTATGACACCACATATATGTCTCCTATGTAAAATGGGCCAAACCAACAAGTAATTGATTTGGTTTGATTCCTCCAAATATTGAAGTGTGTAAATGCAGACAGTCTTTTACAGTAAGAAGCTCTTCCACTCAGCATTGACGACTTCAAACAGCTGAAAAACATTGCTGAGCTAGTTTGTGTTTAATGTGAGACCAAATATTCTCTATAGGGTTTAAATCTGGACTCTATGACCAGTCAGAATCAGCAGTAAACACTATTATTTTTTTTGCTTGGGAGTGTGTGTGTGTGCGTGTGTGTGTGTGTGTGTGTGTATATACATACCCATACATATACAGTGGGGTCCAAAGGTCTGAGACCACTCATGCTCCTATTTTCCATTCCTAAATCTAATTCTATTATCAGCGTAACAATCTGAGTGAACTGTTAACAAGTTTCAGAATTTCTTAGTGTTCATGTCCTTCATTTGCTTTAATGATTGAGCGTGAACTCGAACTGGCAGATTAAGTCCACCTGAGAGTCGTCTGAACACAAGATTCAGAAGAAGAAGAAAGACTAAAAAGTATCAGGTTTTCTGTAGAAAAGCCTTAACGTGGTCACTGCCACAGATCTGCATCAGTTTGAATAGTGACCTACAAATAGAGCAGAACCTTCAGTATTTCTTTGTTTAAACTTTTCAAAATTCTTCAACTTTCTCTTTATTTTCCAGTTTAAATGAAAAAACATCTGAGGTTTTCAGTGTGGTCTCAGACTGTTGGACCCCACTGTGTGTGTGTGTGTGTGTGTTGGTTTGTTAGGAACACGGCTGCACTGGGCGCAGACTACGACTACGATGTGATTCGCTTGTAAATAATGGTGATTTGTCATAAAGCCAGACTCTGTATTTGTAATAATGATAATTTTCAGTTTGAAATATGACCAGAATGAGTTTTTTCTCGTTTGTCCATCACAAGTAAGAGATACTGCGACTCCTTTCCCTGCACAGTAGCACAATCCCACAGTACTAAATTAGACTTACTGCATTTTCTTGTTTACTATTCTAGTTAATATATTGGATAAATGTATCTATACAAGAAAGATGACGTTTATAGCCGTATTGCGGCCGTTATAAAGTAGAAATCTGAACATTTTATATTTGAGTTTGTTTTTATATACCCGAGGCCTCGTCCGTGTTCATTCAGCGTTGCTGTCCTGCAGCTTTGGAACCCCAGATTAAACATAAAACTCGACTAAATAAGGCTTTTCTGCTTCATGTTTTACTGAAGGGCAGCGTTCATAAGGCCACATGTCACCTATATAAGCATTTCATGACCACTGACATAAACATTTATAAACACTTATAACAGCTTATTCCAAAAGCGCCAGTTGCTGTAACACCTTCTGTGGTGAATTAACAAAAGGGGCCTTATGGTCACTGACGCTCTGTGGAAAAAGCCTTTATAAAGGTTTATGTCACTCATTGAAGGCTTATGTAGCCCCTCAGGAAACCATCTCCAGTAGTGACTCAGCATTGGCGTTGGTACTTCAGTCAAAGACCAGTCTTGGAAATGGACTTTTGTGTGTTTTTTGGAGTTTTGTGCTGCACCAGAGGAGACTTTGGTGGGTTTTTGGGGGTCTGAGCTGTCCACTGTAAATCCAGGTGTGCTGTTTGTAAACAGTCTCTTTAATAATTGATCATTCCTTTTGGCATTATTGTTTCACACAAACATTTGTACCATGAATTGATGCTGAAAGCATGCGGTTTCTGTATCGATGGTTGAGGGATTCTTGCTGTAAATATGTTGAAAAAGCTCTTGTTGCCTTTTTTAAAGCAGTTTTTTTATTTAAGTGAATTTTCCCTGAAAAAGACATTATTTCCCGTCTCCCCGTTCGGCTGTGAGAATTTGAACCACTGTTTTTTCATTCATTTGTAGAGGAGAGATGAGAGTTTGCTAAATAAAGTAATGATCTGGGGGAATGAGTCTGTGCTGTGTGGAGTGAACTGGCTTTTTGAAGGCAAACGTGGTGTGACTCGGTCTAAACAGGACCAATTCTGTAGAGACGGGTATAAATGGTTATCACTACGGGGCATCTCAGCAGAAAACGCTGATGCAGATATCAGAGGGGAAGAAAGAGTGAATCAGAATCAAAGATGGTGTTCAGCTATCTATAGGCACTTATACAATAGACATAATAATAGATTAAACAGAAATAGATTAACAGAAATTATGTTTTCAAAATAATTCAGATTGCTTTGATGCCCCGTTCAGTGGTGCTGATAGGAACCAGACATCTGAAGAGTTTAACGCCTCTAAAAGCTCCATCACAGAAAGTTACTACATGAAATGGTTATGAATTCACTGCCTGATAACCGAGACACTGTTTTACGGTAGTTTTGAGAAGATTTTGGCCTTAAAATCCTTTCATGCTGGAGGGATACATAATATGAAGGGTGCTGTGAGGCAAAATAGCCCCCAGCCCCCAAGGAGGTGGTCATAGTGTTATGCCTGATAAGTGTGTGTGTACATATATATATATATATATATATATATATATATATATATTTGCAGAACCACCTACAGCACGTTCATCAATCCAAAGAACCATTCCACCATGCAAGAACCATACAAATATTCTATATACAATTACTGCCTTTAA